AGGTTTTAAAAAGCCAAGACTGACTGGCTTGACTGAGTTCATTCATTCAATAAATACCGAATGTCTGCAAAATGCCAGATGCATTTCCAGGTGCCAGGGATATAGCAGTGAACTAAAGCCCCTCTGCTGGAGCTTACATTCTTAGCTGGGTTGGATGGAGTGTTTGATAAATAATAAGCAAAATTTTAATAGTAAAAGTGGAGGTGGTGATAAGTGCTATGAAGAAAAAGGAGGAAAAAGGCAATACAGCATGTTGGTGCGGGGGGTGCTGCTTTACATAAGTTGGTCAAGGAAGCCTCAGATTAACTGGCATTTGAGACCCCCAAAATAGTAAGAGAAGAAGCCATGTGGATATCTGGGGAAACTGCCAATCAGAGTGAACAGCAAGTGCAAAGGCCTTGAGATTGGCCGTTGCTTATCACATCTGAAGAATGGTAAGAGGTTGTGGAAAGAGGAAGAGGGGGAGTGCAAATCCATGCCATCATGCAGTCTTTTAGTTAAAAGACTTTCAGTCAGAATGAAAGAATAAGCTATTGCAGGATTTTGAGCAGAGAATTGCAGAGTTTTGAGCAGACAGTCCTTCTCACTACTATCTGGAGAATAAAAAAAAATTTTTTTGAGATGGAATCTCATCTATTACCCAGTGGCACAACCTCGGCTTACTGCAACCTCTGTCACCCAGGTTCAAGCAATTCTCCTGCCTCAGGCTCCCGAGTAGCTGGGATTACAGGCGCCTGCCACCATGCCTGTCTTTTTTTTTTTTTTTTTTTTTTTTTTGTAGAGACGGGGGTTTCACCATCTTGGCCAGGCTGGTCTTGAACTTCTTACCTCATGATCCACCCGCCTCGGCCTCCCAAAGTGCTGGGATTACAGGCTGCACCCAGCCGAGAATAAATTTAATGGGGAAATGGAAGGAGGGAGTGCAGTTGGGAGGCCATTTCAAGAACCCAGGCGATTTAGCAGTTACCAAGGAAATCAGAAAAAAAGAAAAAAGAATCCGGGTGAGAGATGGTAATGCAGACTAAGGTCGTGGCAATGGAGAACTAGTGAATTATGGAAAGTGAATAATCACTTGTTTGCTCTTTTCAGAAAGACAGTGCTAGTAGAAGGGCTGGCCTGTGTGGAGTCTAAAAATGGGAACCTCAAAACAAGCTGTTGGCAGGATTTTGTTAAAGGAGAAAGACTGACATGGTGTGCTGGCTCACACCTGTAATCTTGGTTCCTCGGGCTGCCAAGGTGGGATAATTGCTTGAGTACAGGAGTTTGAGAGCAGTGTAGGCAACACAGTGAAACCTCATCTCTATAAAAATAAAGGAAAAGGACTGAATTTGAAGGATAAAGATTATTATCCCTAGAGTGATAGACATTGCTGTAGGGGTAGTCCATCTACCCTATGTAAACTAAAGGATATAGTTGCTCTCAAGCTTTTACCCTATCTTGCCTTGATTCTCTGCTTACCAAGCATCCAAATTCCCTTAGTTGATACCCTGGCCATAGGTGCTCGGGCCTCAAGAAAAGAATGATCTGCCTTGGCCGGGCACGGTGGCTCATGCTTGTAATCACAGCACTTTGGGAGGCCAAGGTGGTGGATTACTTGAGGTCAGGAGTTTGAAACCACCCTGGCCAACATGGTGAAACCCTATCTCTACTAAAAAAAAAAAAAAAATTAGCCAGACATGGTGGCAGGTGACTATAATCTCAGCTAATCCAGAGGCTGAGGCTGAGGCAGGAGAATCGCTTGAACCTGGGAAGCGGGGGTTGCAGTGAGCTAAGATCACACCACTGCACTCCATCTCAAAAAAAAAAAAAAAAAAAAAAAATCATTCCCTACTGGGAATGAATACCTGGTACTTGGTATCAATCTTATGACTGTGGTGTGATTCACACATCCTCTCTGAGAAGCTGAGAGCCAGGAACGAGGTAACCCCATCAGTTTCTATCACACTGTGCACCCTAACAGGAGAAGCTGTTATTTCCTTTTCATCTAGCTCATTCTACTTCCTAGCTTATATGTTCTGTCTCACATATAGGCTACTAATTCTGTGTTACTCCCTGTTGGAAAAAAACAACCCCTATAATGGTCTATTTCTGACAGTACAAAACCCAAACTATATGGTACGACCTTTGAGGCCCTTCATTACCTGACATCAGTCTACTCTTCAAAATGCTTCTTTTTTTATTATTTTTATAAATAGAGACAGGATCTCGCTATGCTGGCCAGGCTGGTCTCAAACTCCTGGGCTCAAGCAGTCCGTCCACCTCAGCCTCCCAAAGTGCTCATTACAGGCAAAACCCTTTGAACATTTTCCTTTGATATACTCGAGAGGGGTAACCAAGACAATATGACTGAAATGAAATTTAGACAGCACAATAATTGAGATATTGACTTAAAAAAAATAGCATGACACTCCATCAGTAGCACAATAACCTCTCACCTAAACTGTCAGATAATACACACTGTTAATTTCCATCTGTTCTGTTTGCCACATCATGAGTTAAAGCATATTTGAGTATGAGGTTAGTGTGTCTTGCACTAAAGTCAAAATCCTTTATTGTATCTTTGGAAATAACAAAGCCACCCTGAAACTCTCCTTGTTGCCCAGGAAACCATCCTTTTAAAAATATACTTCCAGGCCAGATGCGGTGGCTATAATCCCAGCACATTGGGAGACCAAGGCGGGTGAATCACCTGAGGTTAGGAGTTCCAGACCAGCTGGGCCAACCTGGTGAAACCCCATCTCTATTAAAAATATAAAAAATTAGCTGGGCATGGTGGTGGGCGCCTATAATCCCAGCTACTCAGGAGGCTAAGACAGGAGAATCTCTTGAACCTGGGAGGCAGAGGTTACAGTGAGCCGAGATCGTGCCACTGCACTCCAGCCTGGGCAACAAGAGTGAAACTCCGTCTCAAAAAATAAAAATATACTTTCATGATGATCTCACCCAGGAAGAATATCTTCCATTTCTTTGTCTGCCTATGTAATCATTTCTGGGACACCTCAATGTCACTTCCTCTGCAAAGCCTTTCCTGACCCCACCTTGTATTCACCCACCTGTTTGTCTACTTAATACACAATATGGTGAAATCTCATCCAGGGGTGGTATTTTAACTCCAGTGCATTAGGCAGGAATTACAAATGGTCAAGATTACCCTTCCCTTGGGAATATGCCTCTTGGAGACTGCTATATTGTATTTTTTTTTTTTTAAGACAGCGTCTTGTCCTGCCATCCAGGATACTGAAGCAATCTCTCAGGCTCAAGTGACCTTCCTGCTTCAGCTCTCTGAGTAGCAGAGACTGCAGGCATGCACCACCAAACCCAGCTAATTTTCTGATTTTTTGTAAAGATGAGGTCTCACTATGTTGCCCAGGTGGTCTCGAATTCCTGAACTCAAGCAAACCTCCTGCTTCGGCCTCCCAAAGTGCTGGGATTACAGGCATGAGCCAGTGTACCCAGCCTTATATTGTGTGTTGTTAAGCAGCATAGCCAGTTTTTCTCCAGCATGGCAACAAATCACTTCATTTGCATACCAAATGAAACTTTTTTTCTGTAGACCTCCTCTATGGATATGAAATATTTCATTTAGGTTCCAGATAGTTACACAGTGTTTCAAATGACCATTATGTCATTTATTGTGGCAAAAATGCAAACACTATAAGGTTAGTGGAATCTGAGGCCTGCTGAGAGAATCATTATCTGCCACCTCCCCAGTGGGCCATCTCTCTCTCTCATCAGGGTACACATTGAATAGAATCCCTCCTTTCTTCCATCCCTGCCAAGGAGAATTCTACTCAGTTCAAGATGTTATGGCCAGGTACGGTGGCTTGCAACTGTAATCCCAGCACTTTGGGAGGCTAAGGTGGGCATATCACTTGAGGTCAGGAGTTCAAGACCAGCCTGGCCAACATGGTGAAACCCCGTATCTACTAAAAATGCAAAAATTAGCCAGGCATGGTGGCAGGCACCTGTAATTCCAGCTCCTCGGGAGGCTGAGGCAGTAGAATCACTTGAATCCTGGAGGTTGAGGTTGCAGTGAGCAGAGATCCTGCCACTGCATTCCAGCCTGGGCAACAGAGCAAGACTCTAACCACTACCCCCCCCAAAAAAATGTTATGACCCCACTATTAAATTCCTTGATCTGAAATTATTTGTTTGTCCAGCCAAACTAAGTGCCCCTGAAACACTCAGGAAAGATTCCTAGGGATTATCACATCCCTAGGAATTTATGCTTAGCATAGAGTAGGTATCAGTAAAAGTTGGATAAAATCAGTCTCCTTAGGCCGGGCGCGGTGGCTCAAGCCTGTAATCCCAGCACTTTGGGAGGCCGAGGCGGGTGGATCACGAGGTCAAGAGATCGAGACCATCCTGGTCAACACGGTGAAACCCCGTCTCTACTAAAAACTACAAAAAATCAGCTGGGTATGGTGGCGCGTGCCTGTAATCCCAGCTACTCAGGAGGCTGAGGCAGGAGAATTGCCTGAACCCAGGAGACGGAGGTTGCGGTGAGCCGAGATCGCCCCATTGCACTCCAGCCTGGGTAAAAAGAGCGAAACCCCTCTCAAAAAAAAAAAAAAAAAAATCAGTCTCCTTTATGTCAGTCTATATCTACCCCCACCCTTGCCCGCTTTTGAGTAATTAATGCAGGAGACCCCTGGACTGCATATATACCTTTAGGCTGAAAACCAGCACAGGGGCCAGCCTACCTCTAAAGGACAGTTCACTGAGGGCCCTCAAACAGCACTTTCCTACTTTTTATTATATGCAGTCCAGCCTCCTCAGCATGCACCTCAAGGCCATATATCTGACCACCCCCCTTTCTCTTCCTACCGTCTTAGATTCCTGTCCAGCTATCCTCTCCTCTATGGCAGCTTACGGTCTCCAGCCTGCTGAGTGTGCACTGCAATCCTAGAGACATTTTTAACTGCTACTATACCCCACTTTACCCCACCATACATACAAGTAGAAGCTTAGCCCTACTAAATAGAGAGCCAGTCTTCGCAGGGTAATTTCAATAGAGTTCTCTATCTTTATTGATACACCACTGCACATATGAGAGAAACAGTGCTTTTCTGGAAAACACTGGAGTGTTTTACATTTCAAATGGGGAAGTAAACACTGATGTGGGCTAGGAACTTTGGCAGTCAGAGCAGCTGCAGTAGGGCTCAGAGGAGCAATCCCTCTTCGTGGCTGGTTTTTGAGCAATGATTATCCCCTCTAGGTCCTTCACTTTGTTTTCCACTGTCTGAAGTTTTTTCAAAATTTTCTCTTGCAGACCCAAGGACAGGAAGAGATTATTATTATCTTGAATTTGGAGACCACTTCCTCCTGGGTTGGCTAGCAAAGCCTGAAAAATATCTGAGCCCTTCTTGTAAAGTTTGTAGAGTGTGATTACAAACAACAACGTTTTCTAAAATGGAACAACAGAAGTTAAGTGTTATTGTTCATTCATGTGAATGCTACAGTTTACTGTAAGAGAAAAACAAAAACTTAATAGTAATTCCTTATTCCTATAACAAGTCTCGCATTTAACAAAATATTTTCACACCTCCTTCATCTTTTGATTTTCACTGCAAACTGGAGGGGTAGCCAGGTCAGGCAGGATTATTATTTGCATTTAATCAATATTGTTGTAATAGATACCATTTTCTGAATGTCTAGCACATGCTGGGCTCTGTGCTGGAAGTTGCGTCTTTTAGGCATGACCTATTTATGTAGAAAAAAACAGAACTGGATAACTATATACTTTTCAGTTTGAACTCTGTCATTGTCCAAGGTCATATATTGGAAGTGGTAGAGCCAGGTCAGGAACCCAGGAATTCACACTTCCAAGTACACTTTAGGACTTAGTGGTCTGAAAAACTGGATTTCTTGGTCATGGAAAAGGTTTTTAAAGTATACTAGGAGAGATCTGGGCACAATGGCACACAAATGTAGTCCCAACTACTAGGGAGGCTGAGGTGGGAGGATCATTTGAGCCCAGGAGTAGTATGCTATGGTGGTGCCTGTAAATGGCTACTGCACTCCAGCCTGGACAACATAGCCAGACCCTGTCTCTTAAAAAAAAAACATTAAAAAATATGTATATGTGTTAGGGTCAGATGCAGTGGTTCACACCTATAATCCCAGCACTTTGGGAGGCTGAGGTGGGAGGATTGCCTGAGGCCAGGAGTTAAAGACCAGTCTGAACAACATAGCAAGACCCTATCTCTACAAAAAAAATTTTTTTTTAATTAACTGAGTCAAGCTGGGCTTGGTGGCTCATGCCTGTAATTCCAGTACTTTGGGAGGCCAAAGCAGGTGGATCACCTGAGGTTGGGAGTTCGAGACCAGCCTGACCAACATAGAGAAACCCCATCTCGACTAAAAATACAAAATTAGCCAGGCGTGGTGGCACATGCCTGTAATCCCAGCTACTCAGAAGGCTGAGGCAGGAGAATTGCTTGAACCTGGGAGGTGAAGGTTGGGGTGAGCCAAGATCCCACCATTGCACTCCTGCCTGGGTAACAAGAGCAAAACTCCGTCTCAAAAAAAAAAAAAAATTAGCCAAGCCTGGTGGTGTGTGCCTGTAGTTCCAGCTGCTCAGGAGGCTGAGACAGGAGGATCACTTGAGACCAGGAGTTTGAGACTGCAATGAGCTACGATCACACCACTGCACTCTAGCCTGGGCAACAGAGCAAGACACTGTCTCTAAAACATAAAAAATTAAAAAAATAAAAACATATATATAGTAGGATAGATCCTTGCTAGGTTAAGAAAACATCATCTTGTTCCTTCTCATAACAACTAGCATCACTTTTTTTTTTTTTTTGAGACGGAGTCTCTCTGTTGCCCATACTAGAGTGAAGTGGTGTGATCTCGGCTCATTGCAACCTCCGCCACCTGGGTTCAAGTGATTCTCCGCCTCAGCCTTCTGAGTAGCTGGGACTACAGGCACCCACCACCATGCCCAGCTAATTTTTTTGTATTTTTAGTAGAGATGGTGCTTCACCATAGCACCAACTATTGAATATATGTGCTAGGATTTATACATAAAATGTCTCCTTTAATCCTCACAACACACACACACACACACACACACACACACATTCCTATTCAAGATTTAGGTCAATTGGTTTACATTAAATGAGATTTTTGAGAACTGAATTTCAAATCCTAAAAATGAGATTCAAACTCCAATTTTGCTAGCTCTTACAAACTATTTAAACTTGAGTGGGTGATAATCAAATTTTCTCATCTACAAAATGGAGAAAATAATCTCTTCCCTGACTACTACAAAAGATTGTGATGGTTTAAAATAGAAAGTACCTGTGACCATGATTACTAAACAATAGTGACATGTGAAAATAAGTGAATGCTAAAAAATGATCCAGTAACAACGTCTCTCTGCGTTTATCAAGGAAACTCATCATTCTTAAGAAAGCCCTTTTGGGCCGGGCGTGGTGGCTCACGCCTGTAATCCCAGCACTTTGGGAGGCCGAGGCGGGTGGATCACGAGGTCAAGAGGTCGAGACCATCCTGGTCAACATGGTGAAACCCCGTCTCTACTAAAAATACAAAACATTAGCTGGGCATGGTGGCGCGTGCCTGTAATCCCAGCTACTCAGGAGGTTGAGGCAGGAGAATTGCCTGAACCCAGGAGGCGGAGGTTGCGGTGAGCCGAGATCGTGCCATTGCACTCCAGCCTGGGTAACAAGAGTGAAACTCCGTCTCAAAAAAAGAAAGCCCTTTTAAGGCCGGGCACAGTGACTCACACCTGTAATCCCAGCACTTTGGGAGGCTGAGGCTGGTGGATCACCTGAGATCAGGAGTTCAAGACCAGCCTGGGCAACATGGTGAAACCTCATGTCTACTAAAAAATACAAAAAATTAGCTGGATCTGGTGGCACATGCCTGTAATCCCAGCTACTGAGGAGGCTGAGGCAGGAGAATCACTTGAACCCTGGAGGTGGAGGTTGCAGTGAGCCAAGATCGCGCCATTGCACTCCGGCCTGGGCAACAAGAGCAAAACCACATCTCAAAAAAAATAATAAAAAGCCCGTTTAAAATCCTGTCACCTTAAGTTTCCATTGAACCTCAGTGTACCTCAGTTTCTTCACTTGTCATGTGAAAATAGCCTCCATCCATTTCATGGAATTTTTGAGATTCTCAAAGCATTGGACTATATTGTATGTCAACTGTTATTATTGGTGACTGCACAGAAGTATGTAAAATCCTGTTTCTCACAATTCCAGCCAGTTAAATTCCTACTCCCCAAAGAGCTCCTGTATACTTAGGGAGCCTTATTTTGTTAAAACACAATAATGAACACATTGTGATGACTTAATACATTTGCCTCCTTATCAGTTACAGAACAATGAAAGGCATAGTAAGAACAGAAGGGCCATACTCAAGATCCTAACTGTACTATGGTGCCTATTCTATAAATATAGTAGCATTCAAAGATGAATAAGTGATCAAAGAAATTTTGAGGGTAAGTCTGTCTTTTCAGACTACAAGCACGTTTGGTCTATTTTATTATAGAGGACAACCCAAAGACCATTGTGATAAAGACCATTTTTATGCCCAAAGCCTAATTGATGGAGATTTTCAGCCAACTTAAGAGACAAGGGTTGCCTTTGCACATCTGCATGATCTTAAAACTGGGTGGCAACAATATGGGAGAGAACTAATTGAATTTCAATTTATAACTATATAAATATCCGTAACAAAAGAGTATAACCTGAATTAACTGAATACTTCGTTTCCATAAGGCATATATTCCTATTCCCAACAAAATCAAGAAAGAAATTCTCAAGATGACTTGCAGAGCCGGAGCAATATTATCTAATAGTCCCAAACTTGTTTGCTGAGGTGCAGCAGTCTCTCCCAGAAAACTTGCTTGTATCCAATTCCATATTGGGCTCTGAGAGAGAGTATCTAAGAGGCTGTCCCAGCTAGAAGATGAAGTTGTTGACATTTTAATAAGCAGCAGCTCCAGGAACTACATGTGCAGAAGCTTCAGGAATCTAGATATGAGTTAGGGGAAGTAGCCTGGGGACCTAGGTGTTCTGGAGCCATTGTGAGTTGTGCTTTGTGATGTCACTGTTCCAAAGGTCAGTTTGCTTTTCACTCACCCAACCAGTGTATCTTACTTAAACCCAACCAGGTACTGGCCTGGGCTTTCAGTTCATTTATATTGCTTTCTCTGATCTTTGGCTAGTTCTAGCTCTAGCATAGTGCTGTCTAATACAACTTTCTGCAATAAAGAAAATGTTCTTTATCTGCCACGTCCAATATGGTAACCACTAGTTACTTGAAATGTGAATAGTGCAGCAGAAACTGAATTTTACATTTTAATTAAATTTGGCCAGGTGTGCTGGCTCACACCTGTAATCCCAGCACTTTGGGAGGCCGAGGTGGGTGGATCACTTGAACCCAGGAGTTCAAGACCAGCCTGGCCAACATGGCGAAATCTTGTCTCTACTAAAAATATGAAAATTAGCCTGGCATGGTGGTGTGCACCTGTAGTCCCAGCTACTTGGAATGCCAAAGCAGGAGAATCACTTGAACCTGGGAGGCATAGGGTGCAGCGAGCTGATGTTGTACCACTGCGCTCCAGCCTTGGTGACAGAACGAGACTCTGTCTCAAAAAAAAAAAAAAAAACCTTAAATAGCCACATGTGGCTAGTGGCTACCCTCTTGGATAATGTAGATCTACATTTCCAACAATTCCATCAAATGGACAACAGCTGTTTTCACATTTAAAGAAGTAAAACTGAGGTGTATTGAGCTTGAATGGAAATGTGACGAGACAAGATTTAAAAAAAATTTTTTTTTTTTTTTGAGACGGAGTTTCACTCTTGTTACCCAGGCTGAGTGCAATGGCACGATCTCGGCTCACCGCAACTTCCGCCTCCTGGGTTCAGGCAATTCTCCTGCCTCAGCCTCCCGAGTAGCTGGGACTACAGGCGCGTGCCACCATGCCCAGCTAATTTTTGTATTTTTAGTAGAGACGGGGTTTCACCTTGTTGACCAGGATGGTCTCGATCTCTTGACCTCGTGATCCACCCGCCTCGGCCTCCCAAAGTGCT